ATTTAGAAAACAAAATCATAAGAAGAGATTACAGCTTGCCTCAAAGTTAGACCCCCACCTTGACACCATGGCAAGGATCACAAAGGACAAATGCAGCACATGGTAGAGAAATGGGCTGCACCTGCAGCCAGGTGCCTTGCCTCCATTCCCCTCACCCCAGCTCACTCCAGGCACACYGTTCAGTCTCTCTACCTAGGATTGTATCTTTTCATTCAAAAACATCAGTTTTTTTAAGTCATTAATGATTCATGTACTTGAGAACACTGTCATAAAATTGTCATTAAGATGCAGAGATTTAAATCTTGAGTTTAGATTTTAGAAGGCTATTAGAGGGTAGAGTCACCAATTGACAACACATCAGCAAATAAGAAGTCAGTCGATGGAGGTAGAACTTACATATTTTATACACAGCTTTTGATGAACTAAAGGATGAGATTGTGGTAGATGTTGCTGAATGGTGTTCTCCCAGAATTCTACTAACGTAGACCTCCTTTGTTTTATTGATACATGGAAACATGGCATCGGAGACTATCATATATTTGCCACTTCTATTAAAAGGCTTACTTCATAAATGATATTAAATTCATTCATAAAATATCAAAATAACAAAATTACATTATTTATTTTGTTATTGATACTTTTCTCAGAAGAAAGCAACATTCTATAATTTAAAATAGGAAAATAAAAAATTATAAAGGTACTTACTTTTTTATTTGTCATGGCTTCATGTGTTCACTGAACTCCAAAGTAGCAATGGATGGAAAAAGTCACCCAGTAATATCTCAGTGGAGGTAGGAGGGTGGGCTCTGGCCACTCATTCTTAGGAACACATCCTTACACAGGGAGATCTGCAAAGCAGTTTTCACTAAGTCTTCTTCCACCTACACAACATGAGGACTTCTTGACAGAAATCCTGTCTCGAGCCAAAGGAGTATTTTGTTTACTCTCTGTTTCTATAAAGATAACAATAATTTAAAAGCCTATGAGGTGTTCCCTATCCCTCCCTCCCTCTCTCTCTCTCTCTCTTCGCCTCCTTTTCATTCTCCCTCTCCCTCTGACTGTGGTTCTGACCTTTCTGGGAAGAGGTAGGTATTTCTAATCTGACAAAATTAACTTCATAATAAAAGCTTCAATTTTCAATTAAGTGAGGTAAACAAAAGTGTCCTTAGTGACCTTACCTACACATTAGTAATGAATCTCTAATATAATAGACTTTGGGGCTTCAGAGGATAATAGGCAGTGCTGGGAAAGTGTCCTCAGAGATACAGGTGTAAACATTAGCATCAGCAGCTGGCCAAGGGCACCACAGTAGCCATCACAGGAAAATGCAACCTTATTTTATTTTTTACAACTGAAATAAGAACTTAATTTTTTTTTAAAAAAATGACAATAGAAAAGAACATTTAGACAGTTTTAAAAAGCATAATAGACTGTGAAGTGTCTCTGTTTTCCTTAGAAGCAAGTATAGGAGTGTCACCAAGAGCCAAGAGGCATAAGAAGTCCTTAGAGACCCAAGTGAAGCTATTGCAAGTCTCCAGGCCCTTTCCTCTTATTTATGGTATGAAAGAGCCCTTTGCTCCTGACCTTGTTTTGCTGTGATGACCTTTAAACACTTGATGTTTTTATTTCTAATGAAAAATAATGCAACAAACAAAACCCACCTTCTTTTATTTTAGCATTACTTTAGGCATTATAACATAGTAAGGTTGACTTTTTCCTTTCCCACTGATTGTAGAAAATTAATAATAGTTAATATAAATACTGCTTTTCCGAAAATCAAAGAGAAAAAAGGGTTATAAAAAAAGAAAAACATAAAATAAAATAACTACCAGTGATATTTATAGAATAAACATCCAGACATTTATTGTTTTTTTAATATTTTTATATATTGTTATTTTTATTTTAAATATCTGTTGTTATTTTAAAATGTATACTCTTTATACATTTTTGTTTTCATTTTTATATGTAGTCACCTTTTTTGTATTTTTATGTTCATGCTTTCACTATGCATAGGTTCAGTTATGATTTTCTTTGAATTGATCTTCAAATATTATTTTTAAATCACTTTCTGAGTTTTCCTCTGAGAGTCTAATCACACATATGCTAGAGCTTTCACTTTTTATCCTAAATGTTGGAGACTCTGCTATTTTTTTTTAAATACATAACTATTTATTCTAAATATTACATAATTTTTATTATTCTAATTTCAAGATCATTGCCCTTCCCCTGTGTAATCTATATTATATTTTAAGCCCAATCAGTGAATTTTTTTCAGTTTTATAATGTATTTATTTTTATCGTAAATTTTCACCTTAAATATATATTTTATACTTTTCTGTGGGCTTTCTTAACTTTTTGTTTATTGTGTTTTTCTTCCTTTTATTTCAGAAATTATTGTTGAACTGTTTGCTTTAAAGTCCTTGTCTGCACTATTGAAATCTGCTTGGGTTTGGCAATGACTGATTATCTTATATTTTCCAGAATAGAATATATTTTACTAGTTCTTTGTAGTAATTCATCTACAATTTAGGATAGGTGAATTGTATCCTGGACTTTATAGATATATATTAGTTTAACTCTGAGTTCTAGTATAATCCTTTGGAGATTTGGTCTAATAGATAAATTGTTCTAGTAAGCAGTGTACCCTTTTATACTTAGACCATGAGCAAAATATTACCTACATTTGTGCTGAGAGCCATTGCCAAGTAGGAATGACACGTCAAAATTTTCGTGTCAGCCTACCCCATGTTGCTTAGAGGAAGGACTCTCCATTGTGGAAATGGACTTGTCTTAGACTCAGGTCATTTGCAGTGACATTGCATGTATGCTTGAGTAAGGTGACCTTGCTCAAGGACCAGGGCGGATCCGGGTTTAGGGGGATCAGGTTTTAGGGAGTATCCCGCTCCTTAGGTTTAGGGCTGTTCCAGGTTTAAGGTGGACCCTGCTGGGTATAGGGTGTATCCTGCTGCCTCAGGCACGCACACTCCCAGAGTATTTGGGATTCAGAACATGGATTTGGCCAGAACGTGAATTTCCCCAGAATGTGTGTAGAGTGCCGGAATGAGTTTGGGAATAAAGAATTGCTGTTTGAATCTACAAGGCTGTGAGTGGCTCGTGATTTTGTGCCCAGCCAGACTGCAGCATATTTGTGTTTCTTCAAATTTCAGATAAGCAATTTAAGCTTTTGCTAAAGTCTGTTTTAGTCTAAACCATAGGCATTTGGTTCAGGGTTAAGCCTAAAATTTGTGCAATCTCATTAATGTAGTTAGGAAATAATTCTACTTTCCCTTTCCTCTCCAGAATTTCTATCTATTTACTGAATGTCTCCAACATTCAGGATAAAAAGTAAAAACAGTAAATAGTTTTCCATGTGTTCTGTTATTGTTGTCAAGCATGTTCTATAAATTTCATATAGATGCTCTTGGTTGATGAAAATCTCAATAGAGATCTTCACTATTCATTTAAAATTTTCATTTTGTAATTTAAGTTCTAAATATTAAAAGTCAAGTGACTTTTGTTAATAAAATATTAAAGTCTATTAAATTCTAATAAATTGGAGATGGATTTTGTAACTATTCACAGAAGATTATGAAATAAATCTTGAACACTAGATGAATTATAATTGAAAATAATGTTGAACTGCATATATTTATTGGATTATGTGAGTACTCTAGATCATTATTTCAGCAGAAAACAAGGTTGAACCTAAATTCTATCCAATTAAACAGCAACATAGAGACTGTTGATGTTAGATGTGTGTGTGTGTGTGTGTGTGTATGTTTACATATCCTATGAATACATCTTGTATCTTAAATTATCCTCTTAAGATACATGATGTATTAATCATTATAGAATATATAATGTAATAATCATTATAGAATATGCTTCAACAAGTATGGCCAATGTGGCTAAAAATTCCAATGATGTTTTAGAGAAAAAACCTGAGATAATACTCTATTCATAAATTCATTTTTATAACACCACACATTTCATTCTCTTCACTTCATGATTCATTGTCTACATTTATCAACCTAGTTATTTTTCAGATGTCAATTTGGGATTAACACTAATGAATCCCCAGGCCTGAGTCCATCCAGCCACTGGCAGACAACCCCTGGTGATCAAGTCCATCCCAGATCCAACTTGTTGACCTGCATGGAGCCAGGGCCCAGATTAATCATGGGTCTACCTTCCCCACACCTGGAGCCCAGGTTTAACCCATTTCCATCTTGAGACACTGCAGCCATCCCCATAGCCTTTCCCACATTGTAGCCTCTACTTTGGGACAAAAGACAGGGCCTAGAAGCAGCTGCATCTTATAGTAGACATTAAAAAGCCAGTGTAAAGCCCACCCTTTCAAGCACACATGGCCCCTTCATCTTCTTGCTCTTTAATGTCATGATCATCATGGCATCTGGCATCTTTTATTGGTGATTCAATCCTGGATGTAATCTGTATGGAGATGTTTTTGTCAATAGGAAGGAACAAGGCAGGTTTTGCTTGTTTTCCACTGCTGGTGTTTAAAAATGGAGATGTGATATCCACGCTGCTGGAATTATGCAAACTTCACTATTTGAAACATAAGAAATACCTTCATCTTATTAAAGTTATCATAATATGAATGTTTATAGCAGATACAATCATATTAGTCACATTATGAACCAGCACAGTAGCCTATAAACAGAGGAATAAATAAAGAAAATGTGATATATAAAACTCCATTTTGAGTTTTACTCTCCATAAAGAAGAATAAAGTTATGATATCTGCTGATAAATCAATGGAACTGGGGAGCACCAGAAAGGCCATGAACCAAAAAGGCAAAGGTAAAATATTTTTTTCTCATATGTGAAAACTAATAACAAAATGTGAGGGAAACTCCATAAAAATAGAGATCAGTGGAGTGGAAAATGGAATTGACGGGAAGGGAAACAGACTGGGAAAAAGGAGGAGTGGTGCAATTAAACTGACCAAACTATCCTATGTACATACCTGAATATACCATGGAGAATTTCAACTTTATGTGTCTCTATAATGCACTAATTAAAAATAATACTATAAAAATGTAGAGGAAGGATTCATTGAATGGATAAAAAGGAATAGAGGGAAGGAGAAAGGTAGATAAAGGGGAAGTACTTGGGATTGAACTGCAGCAATTAAATTTCATGCTTGTATAATTATGTCAAATAATTCTACATTCTTTCCAATGCCCTTATGGTTATTTTTTGCTTTCTCTGCTATGTAGAGGATGCCTTTAAGCATTCATCAACTCCTTCATTTATGCTTATCTTAAAAGGCTTTTTATTTCTCATTCAATTCTGAAGGAGAGTTTTTCTGTATATGTCAATTAGGGTGGAGAGTCATTTTCTTACTGTGCTTGAAATATATCACAGCCAAAATGATCAATGACATTGGAGTCACAGAACTCCAGCTGGAGGCCCATGCTGAGAGGTGTGATGACGATCACCAGCCCAGAGATCCAGCAACAGAAGACGAGGATGGCACAGACTCTGTTGTTCATGATGGTGATGTAATGAAAGGGTTTGCAGATGGCCACATAGTGATCTTAGAACATGGCGGCCAGGAGAAAAAACTATGTGGCCACAAAGAGTCCATTAAAAAATATTTGACTGGCACAAGCATTGTAAGTTATGGTGTTTTCCCTAGTTGATATACTGTAGAGGAATCTGGGAACACAGACTGTTGTGAATGAGATTTCTAAGAAGGAGAAGTTTCAAAGAAAAATATACATAGGTGTTTTAAGATGGGAATCCATCAGGGTGAGAAGTATAATAGTCAGATTACCAGTGATGCTCAGAATGTATGTCAAGAATAAAAAGATAAAAACCAGAATTTGCAGCTGTGGGTCATCTGTAAGTCCCAACAAGATGAATGTTGTTATTACTGTGTGATTTATCATGACTGAATTTGATGTGTTAGGCAATCTGCACACCAAAAGTCTCTAAACAGAAGAAAAAGAAATATTTATAATCTTTGAGAATGAGGCACGATAAAAAAGGATGAAATTAACTCCAAGCATACAAAGACAAACAATAATAAGGACAATAAAGTCAATAAAATTGAAAATGAAAAAGGAAATAGAGAAAAATCAATAAAATGCAAAATTGACTTCTGAAAGATGCATGACACTAATAAAGCTCTAACCAGACTGACAGTAAAAGAAACACACACACACACACAAAATAAATAAATAAATAAATAAATAAATAATCACTAAAGAAAAAAAAGCACATATTAGAAATATTAGGAATTACAGAGGAGTAAATCACTAGGGATTTCTCATGAAGGAAAAGCAATGAAAATTATAATGAGTTACCATCTCACCATAGTTAGAATTATCATCAAAAAGCAGGAATACAAACAAAATATCCAAATGTTGACAAAGATGTGGAGAGATAGGAACTCTTAGGGATGTAAACCAGCAGAACTATTGTGAATAACAGTATAGAGGGTCCGTAAAAACTAAAGATAGATGTACCGTATGATCCAAGTATGCCACTTCTGAGTATGTAGTTAAAGGAAATGAAATCTACTCACTAAAGAAATAACTACCTGTCCAGGTTTATTGCATCACTATTCACAATAGCTAAGACAAGGTATCAGTCTGGAGCCTATCAATATATGACTGGGTAAGGAAAATGTGTCTCATATAGACAATAGAATATTGTTCACCCATAAAAGGGAATGAAATCTTGACATTTGCAACAAAATGGATGAAATTATTTGGAAGCGCATTATGTTCATGTAAAAAGCCAGTCACAGAAAGACAACTACTACATGTTTTAACACATGGAAGCCAAAAACTGTCAACCTGAATGTAGAATAATGAATACTGGGGATTGGGAAGCATGGGTGCAAGGGTAGAGAAAGGGAGGCTGGATTTTGATTAGTGCAAATATCACACACAATCCGTTCATATGTACAATTAATACATGTTAACAAAAATGAAAAAATATATTTTTTAAAAAATTTAATAACTATAAATACAGAAAAGTTCTGGAGATTGGCCATTTCTTCTGACCCTTTAATAYTTCATAATAGTTTCTTATTTTTATACTTTTTGATAACAATTGATGTACAAAACTCTTTTATTTATAAGTAGTTTGTTACAATATAATAAAATTCTTGGCACAAGTTATAAAGTTATAGTGATTTAGTGTAGCCCAGATTTACATACACTCAATCATTGTATTTCAAAGGACATGGTATTTATATAAAGCTTCCAAATCAAATCATAAATTCACCTTGTCAATATGTGTTTATACTCCTTTTTTCTTTTTCTTTTTTTTCAGTGCTGGGTGTCAAACCCAGGGCATTGCGCCTGTTGGCATGTACTCTACCACTGGGATACATTCCTAACCCTATATGCACCCTTTAATTTCTGTGCAGGGTACAGTTCTCTACATGTTTTCCTGTGTTTAACTTCTCTGGCTGTTATTTTCTGAAACAAAAAAAAATGCTTTTTTATTTAGTAGTCCATAATCATTATTTTTGTATAATTATTAATGTCATTCTTCTTGCCAAACCCCAATGTGTCTAGATTTCCCTCAAAAGTTATCCCACCTGATTGAGCACATCTAAATAATGACCATTTTCCTTAGGCTCTACATTCTTAAAGATGCTTAATATATTATAAACACAATTCATACTTTCCATTTTATACTTCCACCTTACTTCAACCTTTTTGGTCTTACACTTAGAAGGAAACATTAATTCTCTAACTGGACTTCATGTCTTCTTTTTTGATCATTTTAATCCATTTTTCCATACTGCATCTGGAGTAGGTCCTAACATATGATTTCCATTCCATTAGAAGTTGCTAGATACACCTCCACTGCATTTTTAGAGCCATCACCTCTATTTTAGAGCTGGTTTGTATTGCTATTTACCAATCTGCCTAATTAAACTGTGATATTTTTGATATCAGACCCTATGTTATGCAATATGATGCATATTTTAATCCATTTCCTAGAATATATTTCTGTGAATATGAATGATCATATCATAGATATTGACAGACAAACACCAGGATATATTCTTTTTTTTTATTGTTGGTAGTTCAAAACATTACACAGTTCTTAATATATCATATTTCACAGTTTGATTCAAGTGGGTTATGAACTCCCATTTTTACCCTGTATACAGATTGCTGTATCACATCAGTTACACTTCCATTGATTTACGTATTGCCATTCTAGTGTCTGCTGTATTCTGCTGTCTATCCTATTCTCTACTATCCCCCCTCCCCTCCCCTCCCTTCCCTTCCCCTCTTCTCTCTCTACCCCCTCTACTGTAAATCATTTCTTCCACTTGTATTATTCTTCTCTTACCTCTCCTTTCTTCTTATATGTAATTTTGTATAACCCTGAGGATCAACTTCCATTTTCATGCAATTTCCCTTYTCTCTCCCTTTCCCTCCCACCTCTCATCCCTGTTTAATGTTAATCTTCTTCTCTAGCTCTTCATCCCTACCCTGTCCTTAGTTACTCCCCTTATATCAATGAAGTCATTTGGCATTTGTTTTTTAAGGATTGGCTAGCTTCACTTAGCATAATCTGCTCTAATGCCATCCTTTTCCCTCCAAATTCTATCATTTTGTCGTTTCTTAATGCAGAGTAATACTCCATTGTGTATAAATGCCACATTTTTTTTTATCCATTCATCTATTGAAGGGCATCTAGGTTGGTTCCACAATCTTGCTATCGTGAATTGTGCTGCTATGAACATCGATGTAGCAGTGTCCCTGTAGCATGCTCTTATTAGGTCTTTAGGGAATAGACCGAGAAGGGGAATAGCTGGGTCAAATGGTGGTTCCATTCCCAACTTTCCAAGAAATCTCCATACTGCTTTCCAAATTGGCTGCACCAATTTGCAGTCCCACCAACAATGAACAAGTGTACCCTTTTCCCCACATCCTCTACAGCACTTGTTGTTGGACTTCCTAATGGCTGCCAATCTTACTGGAGTGAGATGGTATCTTAGGGTGGTTTTGATTTGCATTTCTCTGACTACTAGCAATGGTGAACATTTTTTCATGTACTTATTGATTGATTGTATGTCCTCCTCTGAGAAGTGTCTGTTCAGGTCCTTGGCCCATTTGTTGATTGGGTTATTTGTTATCTATTCTTTACTTGAGAAAAGTCCTTTACTCTTGTGGTCTACATAGAAGGTGTTACACTCATAGTGAAGATAATTCCTTCAATAGAAGAAGCGGTGCTGTGTTTCCCT